CATGTAGTCTGTTGCTGTTTTAGGTATGAGGTTACAGAAATCAACAAGAGAAGCCACACTTTCCCTGCTGGACAGTTTGAGGGAGCTGATATCCAGTATCCATGAAGGATGTCGGGGGTAAAGGAAACTCCAGTCAGCTCTATATATATTTAACTTGATTTGCTGTTCATGTTAATGATAATGTCTGTACTTGTTTTCATTTCACAGTAACCAACAACAGCTGCAGTCAACAGGAGCTGTGTGGCAGTAGGCTGATGTCTTTGCTACAATTTCAAAGAGTAAGGAATAATTTAAAATCTCTTGAGTTTTCCATAATATACTACTGGTGGTTAAAAATGATTTCATCAATTTTTTTTGGAGATCCTTAGAATAGCAAGGGTTTAAAGACAAAAAATCTTTGATTTTTGATTAAATAAAGTAATAAAATATTAAGATAAAAAATAACAATTAAACTACTGTAGAAGTACTTTTCTCCGCGTGGTATTAATTAACGCTATGTAAGCGGTCACAAAATTTCCGCGGAAATCTGACCATCTAACTTTTAAATATTAATATAAGGCATATATAGAGAGTCTTAAAATATCCGCGTAATTTTCTACCAGTCAACGGAATTATGATGTATCTACAATATATAAATTGTTAGCAGAGTAAACATGTATCTCTGGAAACGGGGGTGAGATCATGTGCCAAGGAGTAAGCATCCCCTGTCAACTGGTCACACCCATCATGTGTCATGATTGGTTATATAGAAAAATATGTAGAAAGAGTGTGAAAGTAATGGCCTGGCAATTTGTATGAAAGAATTGACATAACAAGCTATTTCATTTTCAAATAAGGTCATTGTATCGACCATAACAAGTGCAAAATGTAAAAATGATTGTTGTTAATGAATCAAAGGACTTATAGATTATTTAACTCACTCTTTACACAGTATATCATTTTATGAAGGATAAGGGGGATCAAGTTGATTACAAGATATAAAACTATGATTTCATTTTCCTCTTTAGATAACTGGGAAGCAGTCGTTCAGGAACTGAAGATATCCTCCCATCTGATCAGGGACGCTTTAACAGAGCTAGAGCAGGTAGATGGGGCAGAAACGTTAAAAGCTAGAATTCAAACAGATCGATACTATGTTTGTGTTGATTTAAAGATGCATGGAGATCTATGATTAAGAATAAAAAATTATCTGGTACCTTTTACAAGATATATACATTTTCAGATATGAATTTCTGTCAAAGTTGTATATGTTATTTCTATGATAGCACAGATTCTTTCAAAAAGCATTGGGTGATCATTTGTATGGAAAAATGTTAACAATCAAACTGTTATATATTGAACATGGTGAAATTATTAAAACTTTACACTGTAATAAATGTCAGTATTGAATTCTTTGTATTAGAAGTCAACGCCACTGACTAACTTCAACATATCTTTGGTTTTAAACACCGTTATATATCAGATTATATTTTCTCTTCCTTTTATTGAGAAATACTGAAGATTTACTCTGCTTTGTTATCCACTCTGACATTACAGGCGATAAAGGAGGGGGGTTCTTCTGATGGACTGTTTGGGTCTGAGGGGGAAGAGGAGGGTCCACAGTGGACAGAATCAGACAAAACTGTCACTAAACCCTGCGTGGGCCTCATCAAAACCACCAAATCACTGCTGAAGAAAACCACAGAGTGTGTTCAGACAAACGGACAGACTCAGCAGTCTACGGAGATCCAGGAACTGAACAAATTGGCCGACCTATCAGAGAGACTGAGCCCTGCAGTGGACGACCTGATTCTGGACCTGTATCCCCCGATGGTCAGGGAGAACGTTCAGGAAAAGGTAGCAATAATTCAACCAGTGAAATGAATTGTTAGGTCAATGTGTTTCCATCAGTTAGCTGCCCAGGTCATAAACTGTGTTTGAACCAATATTGTCAGACGATAAAGTCTGTTTCTTGTTGGGTAACAGAATACAAATTGTCAAAGTAGTTATAAATACTATTTTAGGTGTAGATCTTGTTATGGTATACTGACATCAGTGGCCTTTTGTGAGAATTATTATCATTTATTGGTTTCACGTTGGTTCTAAGGCTGTTAAATATCTATTCTTTTGTAGGCAAACACCTTGTTTGACACACAGAAGACAATTTTGGAGTTCATAAGGTACTACATCACAAATAAAGACAGGACTGAATGGATGGCTTTGTATATTTATTTTACATTTTTAAAAGTTTGACTCATATTTTATCGTCAATCACCACTGGTTTGCTTACAATTTCCTTTTTTTTCCTTTCAGATCAACTCATATTGTAAGAGAAAATGAACAGAAATGGCTTTAATTTATGTTGAAAGCAAATCAGCATAATTATGAGAATATTCTAAAATCAACTGATGATAATTTTACCAAATAAATATATTAAACAAGAAAAGAAGGTTGTTTAAATGAAGAGATTAATCATGTATGACTAAAGTGAAAAGATGGTAGAATTTTAATTTTTTTTAAAATAAGTAAGCAAGTTTGACAGAAGATTATGGTTTGCAACATCTGCAGAAAAGAACAATATAGACCTACCTTACATAATCTGTTTATGTGGGTATATATTTTTTCTGCAACACTTGTAAGCAACTGTTAATTCCTGTATTAACAAAGATATTTAAACACTTGTAACAATATTAGTTTATGTCTTGATAAAAGAGGTCAAGAACACATATTTAATACTATATGACTTGCATAAACTGTAGACTGAAACTGATTAAATTATTAGTAAATTTCCTTAACCTTATTTAGATAGAAAACTCCAATAGAATATTTATTACTTATTATCTTCAATATTAGGTCATCTGCATATGGGTATTTAACTGTAAATATATCCAGCATGCTTATAATGAGCATACACAAAAATTCGTGTTGTAAACATCTCTCTTCATTGATAAAAATGTCAAGGTACTTTAATTATTAATTAATGCAGGGATATTTTTATCAATGAACAAGATGTGTTTGTGAAACACTATGCGCCCGGCGGCAACAAAGTTTTAAAAAATCTATTTTTAGCATAAAGGTCACAGTCAAGGTCACAAGGGCATTGACAATGGTGTCATTTGAAAGAACTTAGTTAGTGGAGTGCATACCAAATATGAAGTCTCTATCATTTATTTTTAAAAAATTATGGCAAAAGTTCGAAAAAACTATTTTTATCATATAGATCACGGTCGAAGTCGTAAGGTCATTTAACTTGTCAGCTTAATTAGTGGAGTATGCATACCAAATATGAAGTCTCTGTCTTTCATGGTTCAAAAGTTATGGTTATAATTCGAAAAAAGTTATTTTTAGCATGTAGGTCACAGTCAAGGTCAGAAGGTCATTGACCTTGGTGTCATTTTAAAGAACTTAATTAGTGCAGTATGCATACAAAATATGAAGTATCTATCTCTCATGGTTGAACAGTAATGGCGAAGGTTAAAGTTGACAACAGATAAACAGCTAAACAGACAAACAGACAGGACAAAAACAATATACGCCTCAGATCTATCGATCCTGGCGCATAAAAACATTAAGAACCTGTTGATGAGCAAGGGTGCATCTACCTTATTATGAATTATGAATTCATGGTCCAGGGTCACAGATTGTGGAGTTGGGAAAGGGTTAATTCACTGAACAAACTGTGAAAAATGCAATTAATTTGATTAGCAAAGTTTTTTCTGCAGAAGTGTAACGTTATGGTTTTATAAAGAAGTCTTTGACCATAATGCTACAGACCCCGTAATGCAAAATATGTGCAATTTACGGCGCAAGATTTTTTGCGCTTTGTTTGGAAGAATTTCTCCACTTCCCAACTTTGGTAATTCAAATCCCTTCACACCCTAATTCTTATACACCTTTCAACCCTTTATAGTCATCTCTACAAGTGACCGACTCGCTTGAAATAGATTTTTCTGCAATCCCTTAGACAATTCAAATCAGTCCAGTTTATCGCCCGTAGAGGCAAACACAAAGGGTTGAAGGGAGGATAAAATACTTATATTGGTTTAAGAATGTGTCTTGAATTAGGGGGTGAAAGGTATTTGAATTACCAAAGTTGGAAAGTGGAGAAATTCTTCCAAACAGTGCGCAAAAACCATAACGCTACAGTTCTGCAGCTACAGGAGGTCTAAAGTTAAAAAAAATTCTATGATATTTAGCAGAAAAAAAGTCTAAGTTTTTGCTTTTAAAGAGTAAGGTTGCTTCCTCTAAAGTCAAAATCATTGCTTTAGATCTAGAGTTCCATGTACAATCTGTAAGCAGAATGTAATAAATTTTGTTAAAATATTTCTATTGGGACCCTGCCTCCAAGAGGGGCTACAATGGGGGCAAAGTTATAGAATGTACAGAACATTTTTCTTTATTTTGTATTTGACAATAGAACAGAAAATGAGGTACGCTTTTGTTTTATGTTATAGTCGGAAAGAAAACTGATTACAGAGCAATTGATCTTTATTTCAAAATTGTTCAAACTTTCCAAACTCTAGTACATGTATTATAAGGAAGTGCTGAATAAATGTACATGTATGGTAAACGGAGAAGATAATGCATAATAAACCTTAAAATATATCAAAAAAGTTTTCATGGATTGATTCCTTCTCAATCTCATGATGATAGTCAAAAGCAGGAAACCAAATTATTAACAATCTGATCATTTATGAAACACTTTTTGAAATATATGGAAGACAGACGCCTGATTATATCATAGTATAACATAATATGCAGACCAATTCAATAACTGAAGGAATCTAAGGAAAATACTTCAAAATATAAGACTGGTCGACAAATTTATACTTGGTTAACATTTTTCATACAAGGAATTAATGTGAATTTCTACTTGAAGTACGATGCTGGAATTTTTTTATGTCCTGGAAGTGTTTGAGGGTATTTTATTCCTTTATTTGATGTTGAGGACTGGACTTGGATAGACGTTATAAACCAGAAATCAGTAGACAGTGGCGATAGGTAATCTCAAATTAAACCACTAGTATAAAGGCAACTGGAAAACCTGGAAGAAATGCTAAAAAAGGTAATTTAAATTAAAAACTGAAATATTACAATCATACAATTTAATATAAAGTGTAACTAAATTGTCAGTGATCATTAAAATTGATGAGATATTCAGTATTCTCAAAGTTTATTTCCACATCTCATGTCAACCATCAATTTATTCAAAAGTTTTGGAATTAAGTCATCTTTGGGGAGAAAAATCTTTCCTTTCTCTACAGATAATTTGTACAAATCATTGTCGAAAATGGATTTTTATGGGCACCTCGAGCTCATTAGCAATGTAATGTTAACCAAAATAGGTAGAAATAAATAACGTGATATAAATATTATCGAATAGGAATCACATTTTGTTGAAAAGGAATGATATGTTTTAGAATAAGAATAATTTTTTGAATATAGATAAAAAAGTATAATAATGCAATGTTTTACAAGCCATATTTGACGCTTCTTGAAAGTTGTTGTAAAAGACGTATTATTATTTTATGAGCAGATGAAATTGCTGATGGTTTTGATTGTTTCCATGGCAGTGTGGGCCTCAGGAAATTATAAATGGAACAATGGATCCTTCTGTCCAGAAACGCCATGTGTGTGTTGGAATCCAGAAACCGCCGACTGTTCATACAGGAACCTTAGTTCCATTTCCTTTCATCTCCCCTCCAGTATTAAAACCTTAATTCTAACAGGAAACAAGTTTTCAAGAGTGTTGGGTGATATGTTTATCAATTTTATTAGTTTAAACATTACAAGATTATCAATGGATAATTGCCACGTAAATTCCATTTCCCCTCGAGCTTTCGAGCACCTTGAACATTTGGTTTTTCTGGATTTATCTTATAATAATCTAACATTTTGTAATCTTGAACCTGCCATGTGTTCTCTTAAAAGATCGCATCTTCAAATTCTCAATATTTCTGGAAATGCTTTGTGGAATCTTCCTCCTGGTAGTTTGATATGGTTATTTAGGTGTGTTTGGCTCAGAGATTTAAAAGAAATTATTATGACGGGGGGTACCATAGAAATGCCCAATTTCGAATCATTTTCCAGCCTCAAAAAACTTGAAATCTTGGATTTGCGTCAGAATGAAATCTTTCATATCACTGAATATAATCTTACTAATTTACAAAATTTAAATTTAGCTGAGAATAAAATACAAGGTCTTCCAATTTTACATTTGTCTTATTTAAAGATATTAAACTTGTCAATGAACCAACTATCGGAAATAGACAAGCTACGAGAAAATCTATCTCTGCCTGAACTTGAGTCCTTAGATTTGTCTCACAATCCAATTACCCGATTACAACCTTTATCTTTTGAGCGATTTAAAAAATTAAGGTCATTAAAAGTTGACCACATCAGAAGAGCTATAGTAAACAGTTATACATTTGCATCTAATTCACTAGAGGTTCTTTCTATTGGCAATCTCGCATATTTCAACAACAGCATTTTTAGTAACTGTCCTCAATTGCGATCTTTAACTGTATTGAACACAGACTTTTCCGATGAAAATTTTACAGATTTTTTACTACCACTAGGAAGTCTAAATACAGTTAGGATATCTTACGGTAATATCAAATATATTCCTTCTCTGCAAAATTTTTCAAAATTAATACATCTTGATTTAAGCCAAAACAACATCAAGACCATTCACCCCAGTGTATTTGACAATCTGAAAAGTATTCGTACCATTGTATTGCATCACAATTTCTTTTCGAAAGTAAACCATATTTCATTTCCTTCTTTTGTTTGGAAGAACAAAATGATTTCTCTTGATCTATCCTCAAACCCTTTTGACTGTAGCTGTCAAATAATATGGTTCGTACAATGGTTAAAAGATAACGAAGAAAGAGCAGACAATTTTCCTGATTTGTACAAATGTGCTTCACCAAGTGACAAGCATGGTCTTCGTCTCGCCAACTTTGATGCCTCAGAATGCCATCGTCCAAACCGGTATCTAATCCTCTCATTTACAATCGGTGGGTGCTTTTCAATTATCTGTTTTGCAGTAATCATTTTGAGAAAACTCCGTTGGGATATAAAATATTACATTCATATTTACAAAACCAAGAGACCATTGAAATACAAGCGCCTATTGGATGACGGATTCCTTTTTGATGGGTTCGTCGCCTACAACTCAAATGACAGGCAGTGGATTATGTCCGAACTTATAGAAAAGTTAGAAAAGAAAAATAACTTCAAACTTTGTCTGCAGGAGAGAGATATCCTTCCAGGTGGCATTTTCGTTGACGACATTCATCATAATATTGAAGCTAGTCGTAAATTTATTTTGGTTTTGTCTGATAATTTTATGAGTGATCAGTGGTGCAGATATGAGACATTGATTGCAAACCTTACAGTAGTAGACGGGAAAGCCGAAAAGGTACTTATTGTTCTCTTAGGAGAAATAAGTTCCCAGTATATGACAAATTCAATGAAAACTTTGATGAAATCAACTGTTAATCTAGAGTGGACGAAAAAAGAAAGCGGGAAAAAGTTGTTTTGGACAAGAATTCAAATTGAAATGCAAAAATAAACTTAATTTTTATATCATTTAGTTGATATTGTTATTACAATTTCATATAAATATTTTTAATAGTTAATTAATTTATATGTGTTGACTGGATATCCCAGTAAACTCAAAATAAATGATACTACAAAAACTGTCATACCTGTCTCTTATTTGAATATTTTACTAGAACCATGCAGTGACTTAATAAGAAAACTGAATGATAAACGTACGTGAAGGCAACTTTTTTTACCCTCAACTTTTTACCCTTATCGCTGCAGATGGAGGTTACGTCTAGATCTCTCAATACGCAAGATATATACGAACAATTTTTTAAATGAGACAAGCTTAATTGACAAACAAGTAGATGAACAAGAATATCAGCAGTCTCGTTTAAAGTAACCATTTCACAAGTACTATGATCGATATAATTACCTTTTCAGCAAATAAAGTACTTCACTATGTCGAATGCAGACGTGTTTCATACTTTTATTGTCTACGAATTTTCCCGTGTACTCCCGCTTACTCCTCCATTGCACTTGATGTTTGTTATTAGTTCACATTTTGAACAGCCATCAAACTCTCTGCCTCTGTTCTTTTAAATATAAAGATGCGTTTCTTAAGGTTTTTTTAGTCGCCTGCGTGGTGCAGTGGTTAGAGCGTCTGTTCTAGAGTCGTGAAGTAAGGAGTTGATCCTTACGTCGAGGGTTCTACTCCCACTGTGGGACGTGGATACCGGTCCTTCGGATGAGACCATATAAACCGAGGGCCCATGTCGCAGTAGGTGCTCAGTCACGAAAAAGATCCTTCACTGCTCAATGGCCATTAGTGCCGAGTATGGGACATAATCATTTGCAGCTCTCCACCGGCATGTGATGGCGTCTCCATATAAGTGAAAAATTCTCGAGAGGGACGAAAAACAACAAACAAACTTAAAGTTTCGTTAGGTATACCAAATTCAACACATAAAAACTTACGACTTTTTGACTTTTTATACAACCGTTACTATTGCCCACGATAAAGTAAAGTCTAGGCTTTCTGACATCATTGACAGCTGCCTTTCAACTCGTAAATTTACATATATACCTTGTTATTAATTAGTCATGTGCAAAATTACATTGTTAAGAACAATCTGATTGTACACACATGTACTCTGAAGTTGATATTAAAAATGATGGAGTTTCTGATTGACATTATCAATGTGATTTTTGGAGACCAATTCTTTCAAAATCTATTGGAATTCCCATGGACATTAATTGCACACCGTTATTAACAGACATATTTTTGTAGTCATATGAAGCAGAATTTGTTCAAAATCTTTTACGTGAAAAGAAAAAGCTTGATTTGGCCTTCAACTCGACATTTAGATATATCAACGACGTATTGCCAATTAACAATAGTTACTAGTATTTCATCTCATGTAAACATAATATATCCGGGTGAGCTTGAAATAAAAGATGCAACAGAATCTGACAACTCTGTTTCATATTTAGATATTTTACTAGAAGAAGACCTTTTTCGGCCTGCCTAATTGAAGACCTACAGGTAATTGAAGACCTAGAGAAGACCTACGGAAGACCTACAAAAATCCTTTTAGGTGGGTTATTTATAACAACCAAACTTTATGATACACGTGATGACTTTAACTTTTCAATCGTCAACTTTCCTAACTTATGCAGCAATATACCTTCATCACCTGCATACGGATAATAAATAACTCTGAGTTGATTCAATTGATCGGAAGATCGTGTTCAACTAAGTTTAAAACTTGGTAAGCTATTAACAAACAAGTTTATGAAGCAAGAATATCATTGATCTCGTTTAAAGTCATTTCTTATCGTAAAGTCTATGGTCGATAGAATGACCTTGTCAGAAAATACAATAAGTCACATGTTGACTGACTTTTTCATACTGATCGTTAGGCCATTATTTACACACTGAGTTGTCAATAGATTTTTCTTGTTTTTCCCCCGAAAATGACAAGGAGCATACGGCGGGAGTGACCGATTGGTAGGAGATGCTCACTCCTCCATGGCACCTGATCCCGCCTTTGATTTTTTAAATGAACATTTGAGTTTGAATTCTGTTAGTAATCTCCGTGTATTCCATGCGACTCGTCAGCTTTTAAGTAAAGTACGGTCAGAGCCTCTTATATCAAAATTTGTTAAAGCAATTTAATTCTTATACTATTTTTGAATAAGACAATGCAAATTACACAATATTCTGTTTGAGAATCCTTACAAATGCATAAAGTAACAAGATTTGGGGGACTTTCTTGTAACGAAAGGAAATTATATATTTGTAGTAATTTTCCAGCTATAATTCTTCAACATGAAACTGAGTTCCTTCCCGGTTTACCCTTTTTGCATCTCAAATCAAAGAGTATTTAGGAAAGCATGCATATACATGTATACACTTTATTTTAGAGAAGAGTAATTTTATTTAAAAAACGTTATTTACTGTATACAGGGAAATTTTCGCCCCGTTTTATTTTCGCCCCTTTCGCGCTTATCTCAGGAGGGCGAATTTAAAACGGGGTGAATAACAAAAAATAAGTATAATTTCTTAAACAAAAGTACGATTGGGCGAATTTAAAACGGGGCAAATTTGTTTTAAAGTGTGAAAGGGCGAAAATAACACGGGGCGAAAATAACCCTGTATACAGTATTAAAATTAGTTACAAGCACATTTTTACACACACACACACACACACACACACACGAAGTTTAAAACATATAAAAAGTACATGTTAGAAATGAAAATGTTAAAAAAATCAAGCTTAACAAATATTTAACAATTCTCGTTTCTATATGTCCAACACCAAGATTATTATTGCATGGACTAAAAATACAATAAAAGCACACTTAAATAACAGTAAAATAAATAAGTAACCATAGTTAAATCATAAACTACTGTATGGAAACAAAATAAAAAAAAAATAGAAAATTATGTGAATATATTTAAAAAGAATATTCAAATTTCGTACTATTTTGTTATTTTGTTGTAAATTTTGTTACTATTTACACAAACACACACAAAAACATAAGGAAAAGTACATGTTAAAAATAAAAATGTTTTAAAAATTCATGCTGAACAAATAAAAAACAATTCTCTTGTCTGTATGTCCAACACTAAGATTATTATTGCATGGACAAAAAGAGGAAATTATATGAATATATATACTTGTTATATATATATATATATATATATATATATATATATATATATATATATATATATATATATATATATATATATATATATATATATATATATATTTTTAAAAAGGATAATCAAATTACGTATATTATTTTAGAATTTCAGTTATTGTCCATGAATTGCTTGACAGTTTGCCAGAACTTTCTCTTTTCGACTTTCCCTTCCGTCCACTCCGCATGTGAGGTTGAGTTTAGAAGCACTTTCAAGGCGCCGTTGATGTGCTCGGAACGAATATCCTGCAATAAAATTAGGAAAAGCTTGTGACTGTCACCGTCCGCCAGAGTGTGACTCGCGAGAGCTGTTTCATATTTACACCATTGATCGTCCATAAAGTTATTTGAGAGGACTAAGATCAATTTCCTGCTCATGTCAATACTCTCGGCAATATCCTACACATACACCCCACCTGGAATGATATCTCTCTCGTGCAAACAGAGCTTATATTTGTGATTTCTTTCTAGCATTTGAACAAGTTCAGACATTACCCATTTTCTGTCGTTTGTGCTATACACAATGAAAGCATCATATACAAATTCTTCGTCGGTAAATCTTTTATAACCCATAGGTTTTCTATTTCTACAAATGTAAATGTAATATTTAATATCCCAGCGAAATTTTCTTAAGAGAAATGTAGTGAAAATAAGAATTGAGAGAAGTCCGCAGGAAATGGATGCTTGTATGATATACGGGTTTAACATGTTTAATTTGTGACATTCCGAAAATCGATCGCATTCGGATAGGCTCCTTCCTTTAAATTCCAATGGGGATTCGCAAATATATTTCTTTGGATGCCCAGTCACTCGTTCGTTGTTGTTTTCTACCCATACTCTGAACTATTCAGTTGACACCCACAATCAAAGGGATTGGACGATACATCAAGAAGAAAGCTTTCATTTTCCCAAAGAAAATCGGGCAAAGATGTTTGATTGATGTTATTTAAACTATTGCTTTGTAGAGTTAATTGATTTAATGCTGTTAAATTTTGAACAAAGTTTCCAGAAATGTCTTTAATTTTATTAAAACTGTAGTCTATGTTTGTTAACTTTGTAAAATCATTCAATCATTCAGAAAAGTCATTTGATGAATTCCACCATATATAATTGTCAAGGACGACAATTTTTTCAGAGGTTCCAGCATTTTTCTAACGTCAGTTTTTGAAAAATCGGTATTCTTTAATCGTAGAACCCGTATGTTTGGGCAATTGATGAAAATATTTTTGAATTCCTTGTCCTTTCTCTCCACGATACGCCCTATAGAAAGGATTTGGAGAGATGTTGATGATAACGATCTATTGTCCATAACAACTCCATTTAAATTATCTATGATTAATGTTTCTAAATTATTCATTCTAAAAAACGAGTAGAATGTAATTTTTTGAAATAAATTGTCTGAAATGTTCAGAAATCTAACTTGTGGGAGACAGAAACCTTGTTCTAAAAAGTTTAAAGTATCCGTCAAATCATTCACTGCCATTTGTAGTGTTTGCAGCCTTGGAAACGCTGGTATTCTATTTAACGTGTTATTCAAGCAGAACTTGGGAAGTTTTTCAAAAATATTATCTGTAAAATTCAGCTCTTCTAATGTATAAATTTGAAGTTTTGGAACTACAAAACTTGATATCAGGTTGCCTCCAAAATCAATTTTTCTAATATTTGATAATTCTTTAAAGGAATCAAAAGTTAAATACCGTATGCCACAGGATCGAATGACAACCTCCTCCAACCCTTTTAACCAAGGCGTAAGGAATATGTTATATTCCCTAATAGGAAACAATCGTGTATAAAAAATAATGCCAGAAATATTTAACA